CCCTTCCCCCCCCAAACCTGGATTCTCATGATTACAAGCCTGGTAGCCTAACAAGTAGACTAGACTACCGTCTCCACCACAAACCCCTCCATACATAAACACAAGAGCAAAAACACAATAGCACCTCATAATATAATCATATAAATACTCATAACTAGAAAAAGTAGTCTATCATTTCATCATCAAAGCAATACACATATGCCTATACTATACTATACTATAAGTAAGACAACTTCAAACGTAATGCAAAAAAGAGGGAAGACAAACTCACAACCGAAACTGAAGTTATCAAACAATAGTACGAAGGAAAGTGAACGAAATAAAAATCATTCAATGTGACAATGTATTTACAGTCTTTGTCCTTTTTCTTCTTGGACTTGCCCTTCTCTGAAAGTCCACGCGTCCCGCAACAGACCAGGATTTAGTTTAGTTTTAATAGAGGTTTTACGGCGCTCGCAACTGCATAAGGTCATATGAGCGCCAGAAGATAAGAGGTGTTACAAGAGAGTAACAAACATAAAAAAAGAAGAAGGGGAGATAAGGACGATAGATGTTTGATAGGAAAGAAGAAGCAAACCACACCAGAGCACCCGCCAACCACCCACAGGCCAGGATTAAACAACAACTTGAACAACAACACTGGCAAATTATGTCTTCACTCATAGAATTTTCTAAGAGGTCAGTCAATCAGTACCACCTCTTATGTAAGCCATCATTAAATGCATGCATTTTGCATAACATTTATCTACGGAGCTGTCTGTCTGTCTGTCTGTCTGTCTGTCTGTCTATCTGTCTGTCAGTCTGTCTGTCCGTCCGTCCGTCCGTCCGTCCGTCCGTCTGTCTGTCTGTCCGACCGTCCGTCTGTCTGTCTGTCTGTCTGCCTGCCTTGTCTATGGACAACTACGTCCATTATTATTATATTTTTTGGTAACTATAAACCTTTATAAATCCATCATATATCTATACATCTATAAATCTTTCAACTCCTTTTCCCCTCTCCCTTCCTTCCCTCCCTCCCTCCTTCTTCTTCCATCCCTCTCTCTTCCTTCATCCCTCTCTCTTCATCTCCCCTTTCCCTCTTCTCTTTTTTCAACGTTGTCTCTTCCTCCTTCCCCCCTCCCTCCCCTCTCCCCTCCTCACCTTTACTGCTCTTCTTCTTGGTCTCCTCCTCCTCCTTTCTTCCCCCACCCTCCTTCCCTACTCTCCCCCACCCCTCTCCCCTCTCCCCTCATCACCTTTACTGCTCTTCTTCTTGTTCTCCTCATCCTTCCTTCCCCCACCCTCCCTCCC